CCGGAGGCACAACAGTCCCTTGAGTGACGGCCGCAGGAGGCCATTCAGCTTCCAAGTCAAATCACAAGAGATCTGAGCCAGGGAATGGGTCTCTCTTGTAAATCTGGGAAGCATTTCTTTTCTTAAACTTTTTAACATACTCTCATGAAGCATTTTAATAAAGGTTTGCATCAGACAGAGCAGGGCAGACTCGCAAGCGGGCCACGAAAAAGCCACCAGAGCTGGCGCAGCACCCTTCCGGGGGTTCAGGAAGCAAGAGAAACCTCAGCTTGAGAAGAAAAGGAAGTAGCAGCCTCTGTACATGTGGAATGTTTGACAAACCACCTTCTACTTGGAAGCAGCACCCACCAACCTGCCTTGACGGCAGGGCAGGATCCGTTTAGTAGCTCTGCGGTCTGGCTGGTGCCCACCGCAGGCACGGCATCCACCCAAAAAGTTGCCCTTCCCCCGCTCATGAAGGTTAGCTGCTTGCACCTAAAGCAAGACAAGGATTTCTGCTGGAATCTGAGGCCTGGATAAAGTACAAGTGGGGGGGGGTAGGGGTGGAGGGAATGCCCCTTCCAGGATAAAATAAAAGAAGACCGCGATCAGAACCCCTCTCCACAACCTAAACCAAACTGAAAAACCACAGAGAGGTGGCCCCAGAGATCACGAGCATGCAGAACTCCAGTCCTGAGCGGCGCACCGCCCTGGCAGCGTGTTGGGTGCTCTGGCTGGCCTGGCTGGCCTTACGTGGAAGTGCTTAACCACAGCATCCTTCCTGGAATCCTGAAGTGGCACAGTCCTTTCCACCCTCGTATTCAGCTGCATGTGTCAGGCAGAACGTTTCCATAATTGTCACCACAAAGTCTCCCAACTCTGCACTGCCGCTAAGCCAGGTGACCTTGAGAACAGCAACGTCAAAGACCACCAGCAACGTCAAAGACCAACCATCCTGCAGCATCAGAGCCAGACCTGTGAGGCTCCACCCTCTTTTCCAAAAAGGAGAGGAAGGGCAGGGGGCAGCAAGCGCAGGAAAGTCAGAGTCTGTTCCTGCCAGGCTAAAAACGGGAGCCCGTGGAGCCTTCGCGTGGGGACGCTTCGCAGGGCCATTTCACTTCTCTGCTGTGGATCACTTTGCCAAGTGCCTCGTTAAGGTCACTCGACTTTCTTGGGAAAAGATGACACAGGCGTACCTTTTGCAAGAACAATCTAGATGACCCTTCTGATATTTTTAATACAGCGGGTCCCCTGAGATGCTTTGACAAAGCAAGTTAATGAGTTATCTTCATGTCAAGAAAATTGGATACCAGCTATCTTTGGAGGAGAGCACGTTTAGAGCCACCACAGAGAGGGTTGGAAGTGGCACAGCACATTTGATAAAGCACATGCCCTTTCTTGCGCACCCCCTCTGTATCAGATGCCCCAGACATCAGGGACTGCCCAACCCCTGGAACACGCTAGTCATGCATTTACTCATGCATCCTATTCTGATGGCACCTACGGAGGGATATGGCATGCAGAGGAGGCTCTGCACCCCCTCCCCCCGTCTCATCTGACTCACTGCACTGACGTTGTTCCATGTTGCTGCCTTTCCCCACCCCCAGCCCCCAGTTCTCACCACCGATCGGAGGGACCACCGGCTGCTACTCAGAAGCAAAGGCACAGACCGTCTCCCTGTTCACTTCGTTTCTGCCCTTCGCCTCTCGGGAAGAAGGCACGGCTGGAGAGGGCCCTAAAGGACCCGCCTGCTTCTGGAACAGGGACTCCTCATCCGTCCTGGCTGGCTCCTTCTCAGAACACGCCAGCAAGCACGCTGGGGAGCCACTTTACAAAGCCACCGACGACCAACGGCAGCAAAGATGACGGATTTGTTCAGCCTTTCTCTCTCTCTGCATACCAACATGACTCCTTTTATATTTTACCAAGTCCCTGACACCAATTTTTAAGTTATTCACAGCACTTATAAATATGGAAGCTTACCGTTCAGGTCTGCATGTCACCTCCCAGTGTCCCTTTTCCCACCTCCCGACTAAATACACCCAGTTCCCTCCACTATCCTCATAGGGCTGGTTTCCAGATCCTTTGCCATACATTTGGGCCGTCATCCTCTCCTAAGGATGCAAGCCAGCCCGACACCAGCTTTCACACCGCTCCCCCCACTTACCTTGCTTGCTAGCTTGTGAGAGGAAAACACAGAAAGGGGCTCAGGAAGGCCCATGCCCCCCCTTGCACTACTAGTGAAAGCCACCCACCCTCGGAAAAGGACGTCAACACGTTCCTTTGACCTGTCTCAGGGTCTCCATCAGCCCCACCACCACCACATCCCCTGCAGAATGTTCAGAACGGCACCATCGGGTCCACCTGAACACAGCCACGATCTGTCGGTTCCAGCGGCCTCTGGAGGAGAAGGCGGCCAACACGGGAGGCGACGAGCCCAGTTCCCTCCTGTCCAGCAGTGCCAAGAGGGCTGCCTCCTCTGGGCACATTTTGCTCTACTTAGAAGATTACAAGCTTAACTGCTTTCCCTGCAACCCAATTTCAATAAGCCCAGGAGAGGTATGAGAAGCTGACAACACAATTAAAAACAAAGACTGTTCACTTAAAAAAAATTAATTGAAAATCCATAAAAGACACTTCAACGACCCCGCATCATGTGCCGAGGAGGCCTAAGGAATATCAAAGAGGCAAGCCTGGTACCTCAACTGAATGTTAGATACGGTTTCTAACAGTGATTTTGTGAAAGTTGTCCTTGTACAAGGCAGCGTTTCCAGTCTTCACGGAGCCCCACCCGGCTCCATGCTCTCTGCACCATCTCCTAGATTGTCTGGAGGGTGCCCCAGTCCTTAGAAACAACCTTTGGGTGGGTGATGGGACCAATGGGGGGGGGGAACTGGTGGAAACTGGATGGTCTCCCTTGTGCCAATGCCAGCCCTTTCTCTTACCAGAAAGCCATCCATTGAGACTAATGCTAAGAAATGATGTGTTTCTAAGCTATAGGCTTTCCCCAAGGAACATGGACAGACAGATCAACAGATGGACTGAGAGTCAGCCAATGGAAACGTGTTCAGCACAAGCCACAAATAAAGTAGGGCCCCAAAGGCAGTCAGGCACCAAACAAAGGAACAAGTGGAGGCCCGGATAGCAAACATCACTTTTGCTTTTCCTCATTCTTTAAAACACACATAATAAAATCCTCCCACTGATCAAGGAAAGAAAAATCTCATTGTAGAACATCAATAAAAAGGCAGTTTTGACTAAACAGGACCAAGAAGGAGAATAAAGCAGCAAAGAGGACCAAGCATTTATGTCTGAAAAAATGTTTTGCTCTGTGTGTGTGAAAGAGAGAGAGAATGAAGAAGACTAATGGATGAGAGGAGAAGCATCAAAGACCTCAGAAAGGCCCAAAACGCGAGGCAGCAAATACATGAACTTAGAATCTGCTTCACAAAAAGAACTCTCACCACAGAACCACAAATGAATGAAAAGAAGAGAAATCAAAACAATCCAGAGAACTGATTCCAAGGAAGGATAATGGGTGAAGGATGAACCAGCCTGAAATAAGAGGAAAAAGTCACAAAATGATGTGTTAAGATATACTGACTGGAAAGAAAAACCCAATCAAACACACTTATGCCCCAGGATATACTGGATCGCTCCCCACCCCCTGCCTCCACAGGCAGGCAGAAAGCTCTGCCCTGGGAAGAGAGCCTCTGACAGGGGACCCCATCTTGCAGGGCTGTGGAAGTGTCAGAAGGTGGGGGAAGACGAGCTACGGCAGTTCAGAAAAAGCTGTCGGTGCACAGGATCCACGGCTCTCTTGTTGTCCAGACCGCTGTCCTGGTGTTGCTGCAGTTTAATTCCCTCGCACTTGTTTCAATGGGACACCAACAGTTCCCAAGAAAGCTGGTAAGAATGGCAAGTGGTGTTTCAGTGGCCGTAAACATACAGGGATGCCCACTCAATGGCAACTGGCCCCATTCACATCTGCCCGAGCTTGGGTCACCCAGGTGTTCTTGGATGGCAGCTCCCAGAAACGTCCAGCCAGCACAGCTGTTGGTGAAAGGGCTTCTGGGAATTGCAGTCCCAAGAACACATGGATGACTCAAGGCTGGAAATCACGGGCCTAGGCTGCGCTTGCTAAAGCAATGAAACCTGCAGCCACTCCATTCTGTCTCCTGTTTCTCTTCCTTTCTACTATTCCATGCAGCTGAGCACGATCTTGAACTTTTGCAAAAGATGGGGCTCTCCTCTCTGCATAGAACCATTCTGTCAAGGTAAGCAACAGCGTCCAAGGGCCAGAAGACTGGAAATGCTTGGAGGTGGAACACCAGACGGAAGCTCATTTGGCAAAGGGAGAAAAGAGGCTCTGCCTGATCCACCCTCCGCATCAAGCAAGGCTCAACACGTGGACTGTGGTTCCACTTTGAGCTCTGCAAAAGGCAGTGAACTTGATTCACTTAGTGAAATGAACTGACAACAGGTCTCGGGGGGGGGGACGGGACGGGACAGACTTCTTCAAACAGCATGCAATTCGTGATAAAGCTAATATAAAATTTTCACGCTCAACACGTAAACTGGCCATAAGAGCAGGAAGAACTGTTCTCTCTCTGTATAAAAATGTCTGCTTAATTATTTATCTTTAATAACACTTTCTATAAATTAATTCAAAGCAGACACTAACTGTTTCTGTAACTGGATCCCTTGAAAAACCTGCTTTTGGCACTGCCTATTGATTTAGTTTTGAAAAGCTCCCAAGCATACTGGAGAAATGTCTTCACTTCCCTCTCATTTGATATCAGCCAGACATTCAGTGGCATCCTCAAACCATTATTGGTGGTTCTTCCCACTACCGGTTTCTGGAGGAAATTGGGGGGGGGGGGAAGAGGAAGGAGTGATAAAAAAATCCAGGTGCTTATGGTAAATTCAGCTTACGGCTTCCTCTCCACTCCCAGCATCCTAACGCCTGTGTTAGTGAGGGAATTAAGAACATGAAAGAGATGGGGATGTGGAACAGCCACCAAAGACAGATTCGTTCAGAGTGTGCAAAGGAACTGTCAGGACTGCATTTTGCATGACTGACAAATCTGTCCAATTGAAAAAGGGATGCAAAAACATTCTGATATGCTAACATGAAAGCCACTTACTGAATTCGGGAATGGCCTACATCCCTTTCACCGCCCCAAACCAGAGTCCCTTTATGTCCACTTAAATCACAGCAGAGGAAAGACAAGAAACGTTACAGCAGTACCTGCCAAACAAAAGTGTGAAGAAATGAATACACAAACGTCCCCACTTCTGAGGTAGCTGGTAGTGTTTAACACCGAGGCTGAAGGTGGAGGAAAAGTGCGCCTACGTTCACAGGACTCTCAAACCAGAGAAGACAAGCAAAGAAGCCACTAAAGCGCCTGCTGAGCGGAGGCCGCTGCCCCTCTGAAAAGACCAGGTAAGAACCGCAGCACAAAACCTTACCTCTAAGGCCAGGGCAGTCTTGTCATAAGCACATGGGACTCTCTTCTGGATGGCTTTGGCATAGACTGGTCCGTTCTGCGTGGAGGGCAGAGGGGTGATCACTGCTCCAGGAGTGCTGGGCACTGTGGGAAGAGGGGTTGTGGTCTGAGGTTGGGCATAAGCGTGGGCAGGCTCGGGAATTCCGTAGCTGTTGGAATTCCTATTCCCATGCTTGGAAGACCTCACAAGCCTCTCCACATAAGGAACGGGGATCATCCCAACACGGCCATCTTTGTTTCTGGCACTCCACCACTGTTCTTCAGGCTTCTCTACAATAACCAGGACCTCCCCTTTTTTAAACGGCAAATCCTCTGCATCGTTTCCAGGGAAGTCATAAAGAGTCCGAACATATTCCACATTCTCTTCTGTAGCAGGCAGGATGGGAGCTGACCCAGATCCCATAAGTGGTGTCGGATACCTGAAGAAGACACAGGCATTAGTATGAATTATTCACCTCTGAAATGAAATGTCTGCAGCTATTCTCTTGTACAGATAGCTCTTCTACTTTTAACCTGCTGTAGCAAGAGAAAAAGTCTTGCTCAACGCAGTGGAACTGTGCTTTCAAACCTAAGACAACGGCTACCATATAGTGTACATTCAACTAGTGACAGAAGGCTAGCTGATGAAATATGGCAGGTTTCTGAAATAGCACACAGCCCTTCATTTTTGACATACCACTTCAAAACCTGTAAATACCTGAAAAACAACAACAAAGCAAGGATTGGAGAGACTGAAGTAGTTCATAAAACCTGCCAAAAGGTTTTCTTTACATCTTTGATATTAAGATCCAGGACAGCCCACACTTAGTAGCTTAACTGCACAAATGTGTCCCCATGAAATTCGGAGCCTTCTGAACGAAGTTTCAAAGCACCCAAAGCACAGCTAATGTTTGTGACCTGAAGGAAAATGTTTGTGACCTTCACAGAAATCACGACACTGAGAATCAGGTTCCTTAAATTTAAACCTTCTTCAAAAATGTCGAGTTATGCTTATTTGCCTCCTTTTAGATACAGCATGTTTCTAAAGAAGATATGAGGATACAAACATATAAAAAAGCAACATGTAAGTGTAGAAGGTGAAGTGAATACCATCTGTCAAATACTAGATTTCAAAAGGCATTTATAGCGGCAAATAAAACTGGACTCCAGTGCTAAGCATATGTTACATCAAATCATGCCCTACCTATACTACTCCCTGCTGCCAACCTAAAAATCATCACTCAAGCTAAGGACAAAGGAGAATTATCTGCTATCTCCTCAGAACCAACCCATGGAATATGAATGCACGAATGCCCAACTGCTTGGGATCTATGGATTTTCCAAGGTCTCAGCCTATGAATTCCTGCAGCTTGCCACAGCTTCCCACGAGAATGCTCATTCACCGCCTTCCATGGGGTGGAATGGCAAGACCACTTTGGAAAGGCACCCTTCTTCCTTGAAGAGAAGTCTCAGGTATGGATTTAAAAGCCGGCTGTCTGTTCCTTGGAAGGAAGTCCCACTCCATCCCGTAGCACACTTCCAAATAAACAGGGCGAAAGCCCTTCACGAAAGAGCCATGCTTTTTGTCTCCAGGCATAAATAATTCCACAATGCAAAAAGTATGTCAGCTTCACAGGCAAAGATTTGGATAAAGATACTAAATCACATACAGAGTCTATTCTTTAAAAAAAAAACACACACCAAACCAAACCAAAAACCTACAGCAGTTCTCCCTCCTTATTGGTATAAAAGCACTGTACAATTAAAAATATGAACTATTTTTTTATCAGAAACAGGCTACTTCAATATTAATTCAATAGCAGCTAATCAACATGTCTTCAGGCTTTGGAAACATGCAGGAAACCTACCCTGACACCTTAAGTGTTTTACTGGACCACACAACCAGCGTTCAGTAAACAGAACGACTAACAGATGCACAAGTGACAGGCTCTTGAGTGAAAATTAATGGCAAAAAAATAATTTAAAAAATCAGTCCACAGCATCTTCAGAGTCAATCAACATACAAACCAAGTTCACAGTGAAAATGCCTTCAAAGCAACTGGCAACTAATCAATAACTTCGGTGCCTGGAAACCGGACTCGGTCAGGGAAGAAAACCCTGTCTTTGCTTTGCAACTCTCCTTACAAGGACAGTGACAGCTGTTTCCAAGTATAAAGAGTAAAATAAATATTGCCCCTTATTGGCTCCCTGAACTTCCCTGAGCAAACATTTTGGCTCTAGGAAGAGCAAAGTCACATTTAAAACCTGCAGCTGTTGCTCCACTCAGCAACCCTGCTCTTCCCCCAAATAACTGATCTTCATATCGCTCCCCCTTGGCTGGCGCTACCCGAAACATATGGGTCTGCTGTGAGAGAACAACTGAAGAGGCCCCTTTCGCTAATGTGCAAAAGCGGCAGCGAATCTACCTGGACACCACAAACCACCTTCAACTGGTCCAATGCTAGATTTCATGGAAGTAAAGAGGAAACAGCTAAATCGGTCAGGCTGGCCTGCCTTTTTGCTTCTTTGTTTTTAAACTAGAGAAAAAGTTTGAATGAAACTCAGGCAAGTGGAGACGCTGCTCTTCCATGCCACTCTGTCGACGGGCTTTGGGCTCGGCCAGTTTGCCTCCTTCCTGGCTACGCTGGGCTAGGCCTTAGGACTACTGGTGGTGATGGTGGTTGTGTGTGTGTGTGTGTTCCCGGGTGCCTTGCAAGGGCGCTCCATCCATCATGCGCCAAGTGGACGAGGAGGTGGCCTGTGGGCACCACATGCAAGGTCGGTGCCCCGGTGTGGAGCGGTAGGCCTTCTCAACCCCCCCCCTCTTAAAGCAACCTGAAATCTGTGCAAAATGGCCGGCAAACCCTCTCGGATTCCTGCCTGGGCTGGG